GAGCTACAGAATTCTTTCCCCACCATCTGTCTTTTACATCAATTTCTGCTTAACAGGATACAAATTCTTTCATCACCAGTAAATATTAAATGGCCAGCATTATCTCTCTATCACACTGTTTAAAAGTTCAGTGTTTTTGATTATGGCAGGACTTCCAATTCAATAAAATAGCAGCAGCAGCAACCATAAATGTGAAATGAGTTTAAATTTTCTGGTTTATGACATATAACAATGCAAATAAACAGCAGAGTTGGTGTAAACACACACAGCCAATGTAGTGTGGTATAATAAACGGAATAAGATGTGTGGACATTAATATAATGTTGCACAAAGACGAAGAAAATAGACAACACAAAATTTCAATGCACCTATTTGTACTATTGTATTATATTCGACTGAAACTTTCAGAGCCCCTAAAAAGCCAAATTGATTTTATGTACCATTGGTGATAGTGATTGTTTGCGTAACAGTGATTTAGTGTATAATTTATTGCTTATTCTCTGCTGATTAGTAAATGATTTTATGGACCTGAAACAAGAGTTGATGTTTACGCATGAAGTTGCATCTACATGTAAGATGAGTAATTTGTGTATATGAATTTCATGCCTACTACACAGAATGAAATTATAAATGTATAGAATTCTATCAAGCTAAACATTCCTGTGGTCAAGATATTTGATTTCAAATTGTTGAAATCTTATGTGGATTACGTGAGAATCCCTTACATTTATCTTTGTACTAACTAAATGAAATTAAGTATTCATATTTGTGTTATGACATGTTCTGCATCATTCTGTTTCGCCCACAGGAGTTCTGTACAATATCAAGAAACCGTAACTGTATCGTGATTGTGTTATAATTTTTGTATTGCTTCTTGCAGTACGAAATGGACTTAAGAATAGTATGCTCTGCCTGTGGGTGCTTTTCCATCGATACAACATGATATATCTGTTTTAATTCATGATGTAATGGCTATATCACGTTGCTTAATCTTTGTCGCTTATATTAAGATTGTGATAATTTAATTCCTGTGGCAATGATAACATTAATTGAGTTTCCTAACTGTAAGTAACCAATAACAGGGGAGCACTATTAGTGTTATCAAAACTGAAAAGCTGATTAGAACTCATGAAGGCCACTTTCCTATTACATATTTGTAGTTCTAGAAATCTGTTGTAAATATCATGTCCTATTTAATTTCAGTCCAACCTGGTTTTCCTGGACCTTCCTAATGGCATATTCTAAAGCAAAGCTGAAAAGCAATGGCAATAAAGCATATCCTTGTTTAAGACCATTCTAGATAGGAAATTTATCAGACAAATGTTTACCTATATGGCTTACTATATGTTTCATTTAAACACATTTTAATCAGCCTAACTAGTTTCATGGATACCCCAAACTCTATCAGAATATTGTACAATACTTCCCTCCTAACTGAATCACAGGCTTTCTTGAAGTCTATGAATAGCTGATGTACTCTCATTATACTCCCGTTTTTTCTCCAGTAACTGACCTGTAGTTGATCTGTTACGTTGAAACCCACACTGATGATCCCCAATAATTTCATCTATATATGGACTTAAACTTGAGAGAAGAACATTGGATAAAATTTTGTACAAAGCTGATGGCAGTGATATCCCCCGATAATTACTACAGTCAGTTTTATCACCCTTCTTGTGAACTGGTACAATAATAGACTCCTTCCACTGATCAGGCAATTTTTCCTTATTCCAAATATGGCCATTGAAAATGGACTCTCACTAAAAAGCATAGTGATACTATACTTTTGGTAAGCTTTCTGCTTCTCTTCAAGTTTCTGAAAAAGAAAACTTTCCTTTAAAACTAGTATTTAAAATGAACTGTCTTCACTCGAATGCTGGGATCATGGGTTCGAATCCCAGTCAAGGCATGGATGTCTGTGTGCATTTATTCTATGTTTGTGTTGTTCTGTGTGTAGGTAGTGGACTTGTGACAGGCTGATCCACCGATCCAAAGTCCTACCAACTGTGTCTAGGATGAAGAAACTGTAAAAGCGGCCAAGGTCCAACAAGGGCTGTAAGGCCACAGATAGATAGGTGGGTGGGTCAGTCAGTCGGTAGGTAGGTAGGTTTAAATTACAGCTATGGAAACTATCATGGATGCCCTCACAAGAAGTACCTCTGAACTGTCAACACTAATGGCATATATAGAATTTCTCTTATGTTAGACAATCTCGAAAGTTGCTGTTTTCCCCCCCTTCCCTGAAGCAGACTTTCAGAAATGGAAACAGCATGTGCATGTGGAGTTTCTAGACGGGGTTTTGGATTGATGGCCAGATTTGTTAGACTCTTTGATACGGCGCATGACTACAATTTAGAGTTTATTGTTACACACACTAGTGTCCACAGTCATTTCTTCACTGCTGTTGCTTGGTAGCAGCTTCCAACAGCATATTCCCCTTCCTTTGGGTTCCTGAACTGTCCCCAGCCACAGCTAGAAGCTTCTAACAGCAACTGATGTACAGCAGTCCTACAAGTCACTCACTAACTCACCAACCGACTGCAACAGCTCACTGGCCCTGCTTATAACATCTCAGCACAGACTGCACAGAAAACACCATTCCTCTGTTTATGTTCAAATACCGCTGTCTAATAATGGCTGTTGTATAGCTGTATAGTTTTGCAGTCATTGCCTAGCAATGGGTCTACATGGCACTGTATGTGTCAGTTATTGGTAGGTATGGCTCATGTTGTTACCACCTAGATACAACAGGCCATCAGGACCTTGTTTTATGTGATATACACCCAGACAGATGCATATCAAATGATCAGCAGGTGAAAAATAATTCCGTTAGCCTTCTCTTTTCCTTATGTTGCTGAAAATATATCTGCTACTTTACTAAGGTCTGTGAAGACAATTAAATGCTATTCTAAAGTGCACACTCTTTACTGTAACAGCAAGATGAGAGCTCTTGCTTTCATTTACATACACTGAACCTTTAAATTGGCTTGTGATAAGGTACAGCATGAACCTGAATCAATATTTGACTTCACTTGTTAAAAAAAAAACATGATTTTGCATCAACTTAGTGCAAAATCATGATAAATCTTGTAGGAACAAAATAAGGTAGCAATATTGATGCAATCTGTCCTACTGTCATGATGTTATGCAACTTAAGGGTTGACTGGTGTTAGCTGCTAACTGTAAAATATGGCTGATGTGGAACAGACTTTTTCTTCTGTTAAGATATGTGTATAATCATTTTATGATCATTATGTGATTGAAGAATAACGTTTTTGACTAAAGTATTTAAAGGAAACAAAAGAACTGCCTATCAAAGTTGTCAGTTACAATATATCACATTTTACTGTATAATATACAGGTTTAACAGAATAAGGTATTCAACACTGAAAATTTATTTTTACAAAACAAGTAGTAATATGTTTGTTACACAGCACTGTTAGCATCTGGAGAAATGTTTTACAAATATTCAACATTGCTGCCTCTGGGTATGTGGCACACATCCAGATGAATTCGTCCCAAAGTGTACACAAGAAGGAGACAACTACCAAAGCTGTGGTGTTAAGAAAGCTGTCCTGAAGCATCTGAAGGTGCATTAATATGAGTGATGATATCTTTCATAACCACCGCCCCTCTGAATGAAAAGTCCATGGATGTCAGATTGGGTGATTTGGATGGACATGGAATGTAGCCATCATAATTTATACATCTTCTCATGAATATCTAGTTCAGATACTGCATCACACCCTTGTGATAGTGGGATGGGGCCCCGTCTTGCTGCCAAAGCACACTGTTTACATCAAAGTGCTGAACAAGGAAGTGCTTTGGCATATTGAGGTACCCATTACGTATAATGGTAACCTCAGCAGAAAGGAATGGTCCATAAACCTGTGTTTTCTGTTTACAGAATGGAAATTATTTGCAATCAAACTGTACTGCTTCTACAAGATTCTTAAGGGTTCTGACGATGGTGTACAACACTCAGAATTACTGCCTTCTTGGGTTCTGTCCATCGCCTGGCACTCTAAAAGCTAGGGAAAAAACGTTTTGGAAACTGGATCTGTTTCCATTCTCAGATGAGGTGGTGGGGGACACCTACTCTGGATGTACATGTCCATTTGAGTGATTTAAGTATCTCATAAAAAAATACTCCTCGATGTGGGCACCTGTACCAGGAAATTGATTTTCTCTTTCAAATTGGTGATGTGTCTTCCAAGTTGTGGTTGCCGGTTTCCCTGATGTGCACTCACCCTTAAATTTTATACGTAGCAATTCCATCTCTTATTAAAAGGGACTGCCACTTCCTTGTAATACCTTTTTTTCTGGATTTCTACCGACCATATTTATTGAGCCAGGAAAGCACAGTTAGTATAGCAACTGGCTACAGGGCTGGACAACCAAGGGTTCAGAGCTCAAGTCTCAGTAAGGGCAAGAATTTTCACTTCTCCATGTCATCTGGGCCAGCTCTAGGGACCACCCAGTCCCCTGTCCAGTGTGTACCGGTCGTAAAGCGGCCGGGGCGTGAAGCTGACCACTCACCTTCAAATAATGCCGAGGTCAAGAAAACGTGGGTCTATAGGGTTTGTCCAAAAAGTAATGTCAGTGAGTCTATTAAAAAACATTTATTGATTAGATCGGTACAACACATTAAAAGGCTTCAAAATGGGCTCCTTCTGCATCGATACATCGCTTCCAGCGAGATTTCCAGGCATCAAAGGCGTCATGGTAGGCCTCCTTCAGAATGTCCTTTAGAGCCTTGGTGCAAGCCTCTTTGACTTCGTCAACTGTCCCAAAATGATGTCCTTTCATGGGAGTTTTCAAGCGCGGAAACAAAAAGAAGTCTGGGGGAGCCACATCAGGACTGTAGGGCGGCTGGGGAACCATTGGCATCTTTGAATCGGTCAGGAAGTGGGTCATGAGGAAGGCGGTGTGAGCTGGCGCATTGTCATGGTGAAATTTCCAATTGTCCGCAATGTCGGGCCGGATGGGATAAACCCTTCATTTGAGTCTCTTTAGCACTTCCACATACAATTTGGCGTTGATGGTTGTACCATGTGGTACAACTCCGTAGTCTATGGGTAACGTTCCCACCTCATGACTCAAGGTACGCATGTTCAAACCCAGCGGAGGTCGTGGAATTTTTAAGGGCGGAAAAATTCAGGGAACAAGTCCTCCAGGAGGGGCTTTAAGCCGTGGGTCCCGTGTCATAGCTCTACGGCACATAAAAGAACCTCACGCCTCAAGGAGGCCTCTGAGCCAAATTATAACAGACATTTCCCACCCAACANGGTGGACAAGCCCCCTGATGTCAAAGAAAACAATGAGCATGACCTTAACCTCTGACTTGCTCATTCTGGCCTTCTTGGGGTGAGGGGATGCCGAGGTGTGCCACTCGGCACTTTGCCTTTTTGTTTCGGGGTCGTACTCAAACACCCAAGTCTCGTCACCTGTGATGACACTGTCTAAAAAGTGAGGGTCACTTTCACACAAGTCCAAAAGTTCTTGGCACGTTTCAACTCTGCACGATTTTTGGTCATCCTTTAACACTTTGGGCACCAGCATTGCGCACACTTTTCGCATCTGCAAATTGTTCATCACAATCTCGTGAATGGTACTTTTTGGAATGTTTAATGTCTGTGCCATTAAACGAACACTCAAATGACGGTCTGAGTTCAAAAGTTCTCTCACAGGTGTCACATTTCCATCGGTGGTGCTTGTTGATGGCCGTCCACCGCGGGCTTCATCGCCGACCTCTTATGGCCTTCTAAAAAGGCCTTGTGCCACCGGTAGACCTGACGTTCCGACAAACAATCATCATCGAAGGCCGTCTTTATCATGGGAAAAGTTTCCACTGCAGACTTGCCAAGTTTCACACAAAACTTGATGGTAATCCTTTGTTCCAAGGAGTGCTGCATTGCAGCTTGCACGGGAGACAAAAACGAGTTTCATGGAAAAGCCTTTTGTCACTCTCAGGAAGTTCGGAGACAACTAAGCGACCACGCGTTCATGAGCTGACTTCCCCCGCCACCGATCCCAACCGGTCTGAGTGTGCTGCGATGTACAGTCACTTCACAATAAAATCACTGACATTACTTTTTGGAAAAACTCCCCCATATGGCTTCATGGCATAGGGCATAATTAGTTAAGCACAGGGATGTTACCTTTTTACCTTACTGACCATATTTATCACAGATGGTATTGCTATTTCATGTGTATCTCATGACAAGTTGCTGTATTGGGCTGTCCAAGAAAATTTCTTTATATAATACATAAAATAAACTGCAGTAAATAAAAATTGGAAGGGCTGTAGCTAATGGCCTCCAGGCCATGTTTAACGAAGTTATTTGTGCCTCTTGCAATAGCTTACCTGCCACCTCTTGCCAACATCCAGCACACCAATACAAAACCAATGTTAGTAGACAGGAAATGAAGGGTCTATATCCTTCGCCCAGCTGTGAAGACCACCAATAATATCTTTCACAGAAACATTAAGTCCACTTAATGTTTCCCGTAGTGCCAAAACTCCCTTCTGAGAATCATTACCACGGCGACACACAACAAAGACTGAAATATATATGTAAAATAAATTGATCGCTCGCATCACAGTCAATGAAATTAAAACATGGTTGAAGAGGTGCACGATTAATCTTCACCAAATTATAGGGGAGAGTCAGTAAACAGGATATAAAACTTGTGATATTCAAAACTGGAAACAAAAACAAAAGAGGTTAAACAGTTCCGTCCAGTGTGACTAGTAAAGATTTTTCTTATTTTAATGAAGGATTGAAATAAGAAAAATCTTTACTAGTCACACCAATCCTTCATTGAAATAAGAAAAATCTTTATTAGTCACACTGGACGGAACTGTTTAACCTCTTTTGATATTGTTAGTGTGACAGACCAGAATGAAACAAATCAAATTTATGGTAACAAAAACATCAATTTCTCAACATATCCTCCACTAACATTTATACACTTGTCTTATTGATTTACTAGTGCGTTGAAACCCGCAGCACAGTAGCCTTTTGACTGTTGTCTCAGCCATTTCCGCACCTGGTCGGGCATCATCTGGGAATTTCAAACATCCTCCAAAGAATTTCTTGACACAGTTGTGAACCACTTTTCACAATGAACACTTCCCACTATAAACAGGAAACATTTCTTTATGAATATCCTGTGCAATGAGTCCTTTATCCCACAAAAACATGCCTGAAGACACTTATGAATTAGATGAAATCAACCAACATTTTCAATGTTAATCCTGGAAACTAAGGTTCCCCAATCTTTTTGATTGTGAATACTTGTACCATTCTTCCTGCAAAACATTGGCAAGTTCTGTTAACGATGATGGAGGTGGATAGCGTGCATGCAGATTGCTCTCCAAAACAGACCACAAAGGTTCAATAATATTGATATCTGGCGATTGTGGGGGCCACGGCAGATGACACTTCATCTTGGTACTTAGAAAACCAGTCTTGGACGATGTGAGCTGTGTGAACACGGGCACTGTCGTCTTGGTAAATGGCATCACCATTGGGGAACAAAGTTTGCACCATGGGATGGACCTGGTCGCCCAAAATGGTCACATAGTCGTTGGCAGTGAAGTGGCCTTGCAGGGTAACGATGGGTCCGACAGAATACCACAATATGGCTACTCATATCATGATTGAACCCCTGCCATGTTTCACTTTTGGCAGGAAACAATCTGGATCGTAAGCTTAGGATGGCGTTCTCCAGATGTAAACTCGACCAGAAGTCAGAAACAGTGTGAAGGTGGACTCATCCAACCAAATGACCATCTTCCATTGCTCCACAGTCCAGGTTTTATGACTTCGGCACCACACTGTCTTCTCAGTGGCATTTTGATCACTGATGAGTGGCTTTGGAATTGCAGCTCGTCCAGAAATACCCTGCTTGTGGAGTTCCCTTCGTACTGTTTTGGTGCTGACAGGGTTTGTGAGCGAGACATTCAGTTCAGCAGTCACTTTTGCTGCTGTAGTCTTCTTATTTTTCGTCACAATCCTATGCAATGTTTGTCTGTCTCGATCATTCAACACACATTTCCATCCATGCTGGTATTTATCGGATGCAGTTTTTCCAGTTCTCCTGTGTGCAGTCATAATCTTGGATACTGTGCCTGGCAAAACACCAAAAACCTTGGCTACCTTGGTTACAGAAGCACCCACCATACAGGCCCCAACAAGTTGCCTGCGTTCTAATTCTGTTAGCTCTGATATGATGCACTAAAAACTGCACAGAACACTGTCTCGACAACAGATGAAGCTTGCAACGTATTGCGGAGGTTGTAGAGGTAGTGCTATTGGGCAGATACGACGTCGTCACCTACAAACGTTGCTAAAATAAACACTTCAATTCAGGCATACATTTCATGAGGTGTTTCCATATTTTTGTCAATCCCCCGTAGTTTATCCTTGATGATAAAAATTAAAGATTAAAAAATTATGATGACCTCTTGAAGGTCAAGACATGTAGTGGAACACATTTGCACAATAATGAAATGGTGATAACATCAGTATTGATTTGTCTTTCTTTACACTTGTAGATATTGTTGTGCTGACAGGGGCATTTGTGATATCATGACATATAACAGGTTGCATACCATACAGACTTTCACGCTGAAAGAGGGGGACAAGTACTTTCATATAAAGTGCAAAATAGTGGTATCAATTGGAAGCCTGGTACAAATCCATAAATAACATAAATAATTTTACTGGGGAAAATGTGACAAAAAAAGTGAACAGTTCTACCTTCTGGGATATAATGCCATGTAGTCCGCTGAAAGTCAACTAACACTCTGAAGGCACATATTGGCTCCAGCTTCAGGGTCAAAGAATAAGCCACAAAAGACACGAGCAACAAGCTAAGTTTCTTGACTAGTTTACTCTTTGACCCTGAAGCTGGAGGTGACAAGTTCCTCCGAAACGTTAACTGTCTTTCAACAGACTATTCGGTGTTATATCCCAGAAAGTAGAACTATTCATAACCACTGCTGTGACTACTTCAAATCTGACACAAGAGTGTTTCCCATCAACACAGTGAAACCCCAATTTTACACTTTTTGTGGGATGGCCTAAAATAATTGCAAAATCTCAGAAATTGTAAAATCAGAGTAATATGAATCTTACAACATAAAGTAAACAGTGATCTTTTTCACACCATTTACTTACTTACTCATGGAGCTGAGCCCTTCTTGAGGAGCCACAAATTATGCAGTTATTCGAGAACTCCCCAGCGTTTTATGGAACCCAGAGGTTCGTTACTGTGTTCACAAAAGCTCTCCACTGATCCCTATCCTGAGCCAGATCAATCCAATCCAAACCATCCCATCCTATATCTCTAAGATCCATTTTAATACTGTCCACCCACCTATGCCTAGGTCTAGGTAGTGGTCTCTGTTCTTCTGGCTTTCCCACCAATATCCTATATGCATTCCTCTTCTCCCACATTCATGCTACATGCTCTGTCCATCTCATCCTCCTTGACTTGATCGTTCTAATTATACTTGGAGAAGTGCACAAGTTATAAAGCTCCTCATTATGCAGTTGTGGGCATTTAGTCAGGACCACACAAAAAGGCATCTAAATTCACGAAAAAGGTAAAATCCAGGATCGTAAAATCTAAGTTTCACTGTATTATTATTATTATTATTATTATTATTCCGATATTCAATTACACATCTACCCGAGTCCTCGAGCCCACACTTCCAGCTTTTCAGTACAGTTCAAACATCAACAAAATAAAAGTTTCTCACCTGGAAAGTCTTTATCACTGGAGCCTTTCTTTGTAATGACTTCTTTTAACGGCTGTACAAGTTGTTCTGAGGCCAAATCTTTCAATGGCACATTCAATGAGCCTGGTAAGTGGCAAATTTCAAACTCGAGAGGTGATCTTACATCAATCAGGATGTGCGGTTCACTGCGGACATCGTGATATGTACCTGTCGAAATTCTGTCCACGTTATCAAGAAGATGAATGCTATTATGCTGCAAAAAAGTAAACATATTCGCACAATGACTCTCAATTAAACAGGACACAAATGCTACTACCCCATCTTGTACCAATTCTGCATATAATACAGGGAATTTACTGCCAAAATTTGGTAGCATGGACTGTTCATCATCCTCAGCTCATTTCAAAACCTTCTACATTACAATATGATGGTAATGACTGGTTGTGGAAAACAAGAAAAGAGAGTGTGCCTTTGCTTTCGGGAATATGCAATGTAGAATGTGCAGGGGTTTCCAGGTACAGTGGATGCCGCCTACAGTAATCATGGATAATGTTATCATTTGTGTAATGCTATCACTTGCATGATGCCCCAACCAGAAGTATACTAATATATAGAAAAAAAAAAGACATTCATTGTAAACAGTGTTTCAGTTTCTGTTATCATTTTTTGCCTATCACAGCCCTAACACATGTACTGTAAGTGATTGCGTAATATCCCAGTTTGTTTTCTCAGATAATGGACATTTTATTAATGACCTCAGAAAACACAATAAACAGTCAACTTTAAAAAATTCTAATTCTTGATTTAAAATTCCAACATTGAAATCCTCCAGCGCTTTTAATCCAAGACTCTCTGATTCATTCTGAATGAAACTTGGTACATAAACAACCATACAATCCATGAAAATCTACAAATTAACACAGTGCTCAGTGAAATAAAAAAGTGCAATACCAAATTCTTAAGAAAATTGGAAACCCACACTAATGCACTAGCAGTGAACCCACTAGACAATAGCGGAACTACACATAGACTGACAAGATACACCGTCCTAACTATACCAGACAGACTTGAGTAAAATCCCCAATACAAGCATTAAAATAATACCTAAGTGAACAAAAAAAAAAAAAGGTATGAGTTATGCCACTGGGCATAGCTCATTCACGAGCCAGTACTTATGCACCACACATATTTATTGCAGATTATCTATATAAATAAATATGTCAATGTCTTGATTTTAATTTTATTTGTTTGTTTTTAATTGTATGTATGGATTTCCAGAAACATGAAGGCTGTTTCATTTTTACTGACAACTTCTCGAAGAAACAGTGGTCAGTCAACTTAAAGCATTATGCATTGCTTGATTTTAAATTTTTCTTCCTGTCTACTTCCACCTTTTGTTGTATACATTTCTGCTCTGCATCAAGAAACAGTGTTGAACAACTGCATTCTTGTTTCATCAGTCATTGTTATCAATTAAGCTGTGTCCCAAAGTGATTGCAATAAGTAGCATCCACTGTATTTTGCCAAATGTAACAGTTGCCATCTTCAGGATTATTGCTGTGGCATTTTTGGCAGCTCTTGTATAGATCTCACAGTGGGCAGTGAGACAGAGGCTAAACCATGACTGGATCATACCTCCAACTAACTGCCTATTGTAAGACCAAACTCCCACAGAGTCATTAACTTGAAGATGGCAAATGCAATGTTTTCTGAAACAATGGAAAACAATACATTCTGCACAGTGTAATCCAAAAGCGAAGTCATACACTGTGCTCCAATCGTGAAAACCAAAAGGGAGGGAGGGAAGGAAGGAAGGAAGTTATACTCCAATCTGGAATACACATATATTCCAACTGTATTCTTTGCAATTTTGCACACATCAGTGGTTCTGATGCTCACCTACTGTACATAAATATCCATTGTTACAAAGTTAAGTCACAGCAATACAAATACCATACAGCATAATAACAGCAGAAATACTGCAGTTACAAAAGAGATCAACCAGATATTCTTGTATTTCTTTACACATCAAACAACAAACTGTTTAAAATAATAGACTTGATCTTAATACGGTCTGTTTTTTGTGTCAAGTGCCAATTTTTTCTGCATGTTCCACATTTGTAAAGTTTATTATGAGTTTCACATAAAAGGAAGATTATACTGGACCAATAATGAAGAAAAATTATGCAAAGAAGATGTAGTATAAAATATCAACATGAAATTGTTAAGTAATTATGGAAATAAAAGGTGCAGGTGGAGGGACAGACATGACTTCAACATTATGAAATCTTTCATGCATCTCACAAAAACATCCACGGATAGCACTACAATTGTGATGGCCTTACGTCAATTGGTCACTGATGATTAGAATAGAAACATCACAAACAAATCAGAATTCAAAATCCAAAACGATCTATTCCAAGATTTATATGTACAGGAAGATGAGGGCTCTCGTAATGTTCATATCTCAGTATTAAATTGTGACATGACACCCGAAAGCCAGAACAGTGAAGTCAGAATAGACATTCATTGCTAGGCACTAACTCCATAAACACATTCCCGTGGCAATGAATATGCAAACATCAATCGAGTAACTTCCATTGCTATGCACTGGTGCTGTAAACACATATCGCCAGCAACAGAGAGGCTGTTTTTTCTGCATGGTCCATGCAAAAGAGCAGAGTAATTGAACTGAGTCAAGTCTTCAGAATTGGAAGTTGCAAAATAATGACAAGAAAGGCATCAGTATATGGAACGAAAACCTCGTGTGTGACTTGAAGCAATAGTGAGATTGCTACAAAATCTGTTGCCAGGATATGGCTAGTGATGACTGAGAATCCTAGTGCATGTGTAATGGTGAACTGTAAAGTGTGTAGATCAGCAATAGCACTGTATCTGCCAGTACCTCCAACTGGTGTGCATAAGGTGTCAATAAATCCAATCATCCTATCCTAAACCCATCTAGAAGTCATACACACACAAATCATGACAAAAATTTAAAGAAAAGTCAAATAATGGCTGGACAGCTATTTCTTCTGAAGTTTTAACAGAATACTTACTTGCAAAGTAACATAAAATCTTAAGTTCAAAATTAAATAGACAAAAAACTATGAACTTTGAAGTATACAGAATCAAAGTACCTGCATTTCTAAAGACACATTAAACCTGCCCACAATAAACAAAATATTCAGTATTAACGTCCATTATTTACTGTCCGTCAATATTGCAGCTCTTCCATTCACCACTCAATTTTATTTTCACGTTATACACCTTGACACTACATGTTTCGGCCCCAAACGGCCATCTTCAGGTGTCTTCATATGTTACAAATATTTTAATAAATTGTGTTAAAACTGCTACACACTCTTAGTCCGTGTTAAAATCACACGCTGTAGTCCTCTTTTCAAGGGAAAACCAGATAAAATCCTTTAGAGTTTCTATTATACCCACGTTATTTTGGCGCATTTTATTTCACCTCACACGGGGTGTCGTCCATTGTTCATAAATGTATGTCTGTCCAGGGTGTTTTGTCTAAGCAGCTTGGCCCTCACGTTTGTAGCCTACTTTTCAGTTATGACTGCCACATGCCCCTGGTTTGCGTGCTTCCTCCACAGCATGTGGAGATTAGTAAAGAAAACACCATGGACAGACATACATTTATGAACATGGACGACACCCCGTGTGAGGTGAAATAAAATGCGCCAAAATAACGTGGGTATAATAGAAACTTTAAAGGATTTTATCTGGTTTTCCCTTGAAAAGAGGACTACAGCGTGTGATTTTAACACGGACTAAGAGTGTGTAGCAGTTTTAACACAATTTATTAAAATATTTGCAACATACCAAGACACCTGAAGATGGCCATTTGGGGCCGAAACATGTAGTGTCAAGGTGTATAACGTTAAATTAAAACTGAGTGGTGACTGGAATAGTGTTGCAATATTGACGGACGATAAATAATGGACGTTAATTTGAACAACTGCAACGGGATGCTGAAATACAGAATAATAAATATTCAGTAGCTTGATAACAACTGACATGAGTAAGTTAACACAAACTTTTACAGCATGAACAAGAGATCGTGAAAGAAACGAGATATCTATGCCATATACTTCATATGTGGGACTTTATAAGAATCCACATCTTTCCTTTTGCAAAGCCTGTCTCTGGGTCAGCTGCTTATTTGCTTATTAAACATAAATTGTCATTAGGCAATCACAGTGACTGCGCGGTCTAAGGCATCGACTGTCTTCACCCACTGAAACACTGAAATTGTAGGTTCAAATCACACTCAAGGCATGGATGTCTGTTTGTGTTAGGTAGTGGCCTTGCAACAGGCTGATCCCCAATCCAAGGAGTCCTACCGACTGCATTTGATTAAGAAACTGAAGTGAAACAAAGCAGTTCATGAATGCCCTATGCTCCAAGTGGGAGCAACAGGAATAGAATAATAATAAGAAGAAGAAGAAGGAGGAGGAGGAGAAGAAGAAGAAGAAGAGGTGGAGGAGGAAGAAGGAGCAGGAGGAGATGAAGACGGAGAAGAAGAAGAAGAAGAAGAAGAGGAATGTCATTAAGTTTAAAACTCTGTCATTCTTAACGCTGTGTATATAATCATATAAGGTTGAAAATTCAGGTAGTTCACGTTCTTGATTATTGCATAAAAAATAATATATATATAGTTATATAATACATTTCCAGAACAATAAATAATTACTTTGTCATTAGCTTTTGAACCACAAAACTGCTCATAGTCCACCAGGGCTGTTATAGACGGCTCATTACCACAGATGGCACAGGATGGATTCCTGTCACGGAGACGAACATTACGGAATGAGCAATCAGATGCATCAAACAACAACAGCTTTTTGGTCACAACTCCTTGGTGCCCTAACAATATCTTCAGAGTCTCAAGAGCCTGCAGCACTCCTATAACACCTGGAACTAAAATAGGACATTAAAGGAAAGGAACATCTTCTAAAATACAACCTTGGCTTCATTACCACAGCCAATTACTCTGAAATTTCATTACAATAAACATTTTAAAATTAGCAAAGTGATATATTTACAATTCTGTTTCAGCAAAACTTTCATTAAAAAATATAACTGAAAAGAGTAAAGACAGTTCTAACTTACGAAGATTTATATTGTGAAATTTCATCCATACAAACTTTTATAATGAAGTGCATACCCTAAGCTTGACTTGACATCCAAATGTGAACTCACTCACTTGAAACCCCTCTGAAGGAAAACATAAAAAAATGAACACACTGTCACCCAGTAGGTTCACCTTATACTCTGCCCTGGAGTGCTTCTTGTTTTCTAAAAATTTTAACACATAACTTATATTCATATTTATTATAACATAACGCGGTCTCCAATGCTTCCAGCACAATCTGTTTTTAAGTCTTATGTTTCTGTTCACGCAGTAAAAATGGGTGATTTTTTTGGGGGGGGGTATTTTTTGGTTGTCCTGGAACATAACTTGTAATTATAATACTGGATTTATTGGAAGCAGAAATTCTCAATATGAAATTTCGTCTTACAAAGTCTCTTCAGAATTATAACTACTCACAAGTGTACCAACATTCCAATTATCAAGAAATTTTACACTACTACAGATAATGGCAAATGAAGTATATTATTTTCTGGGACATGGCATCTTGTATAGTTTGGTAGATAGGTTCCTTCTTGTGCTATTTCATTAATAACTGCTCCCACATTTTTAGAGGAGCTGGGATAGCACAGTCGGTATAGCGAATGGCTACAGGCAAGGCAGCCGAGGGGTCAGTGTTTGAGTCCCAATAGGGTCAAGAATTTTCTCCACTCCACATCATGTAAAGTTCACATTGTGCCATTCCATTGATGTACCACTTTGTTTCTGGTTCAAAGTGGTGCAGCCATGTTTCATCTCCCATCACAGTTCTCACAAGAGCCATCTCCACCATTCTCATACTGTGCCAAGAGTTCACAGCACACAGTCTGAGTTTCTTTGTGGGAATCTGTCAACATCCTTCAAACCCACCTTGTACAAACTTCTTTTAACCTCAAATGTTTCAATAATCTGCACACACTTCCTTCCCCAATTCCCAGTTGGACTAACATTTCTTTCACAGTTACATGTCTGTCCTCCAAAACCATATCGTTAACATGCTGCACATTGTCAGGTGTTTGTGCGGTGTGCAGTCTGCCAGTGCAAGGAGAATCCCGAATATTGGTGTACCCACTTTCACCAGATAATCTGCGTGCCCACCAGCTAAATGTATTGCAATCGACAGCCTCATCTCCATACACATTTTTCAGTCTCCTGTGAATGTTTCCCACTGTCTCATTTTCACAACACATGAACTTTATTACAGCAAGCTGCTTTTGACAAACAGCGATTTTGAAGGGGTGCTATAACAGCACTATGCATGGGAACAGGTTGAATTAAATTTGAATACAAGCGGGAAGGGTCCTTCTATGCACCCTACAAATAGCAAAAGTGTAGAATAAAAGCTTTAATTTTTAAAGAAATTTTGGTCATTATTTTTGGAGTGACCTTTACGCTTAAAATTACTGGGCTTCTGGGCTTTGTTCATGTGTTCTGTTCAGATTACTATACAATCGACAAAGTCCAGAAACCCAGTAATCTAAATAATTCACAAGCTTTCCAAATAGAAATGTGAGTTATGAACAGAGCATTCTACCTGCACCCAGAACTCCTCCATCACCACAATTTGTGACAGTTTCAGGTGGAGGTGGAACAGGAAACAAGCAACGATAGCATGGTCCATTGTTGTAATTGTACACTGTCAGCTGGCCTTCCAGCTGCAGGGCACTTCCAGAGACAAGGGGGCGATCTGTCAGCACACATGCATCATTGAGCAAGTACCTAGTTGCCACATTATCTGTCGCGTCTACTACTACATCATAGTCCCTTATTGCATCCAATGCATTTGTGCTATCCAGCTGCATGTCATATGGAGTAATGTGAACAAAACTGTTCAATCTGAAAAATTAAAATATCATAATTAATGGAGGAAAAAAGCAACAAAGTAGAAAGGTCTTTATTATCGAGGCTATAGTCAGTCAGTGGGCAACTTCCTAGCAAAAGCTGCTTATTCTCACCATTCATGCTCCAATTTCTTTCAGTGTACTTGACAACTACATGGCCTTTCCTCAATTTGTAACAATAAATGAAAGTGGAATATATGAAGTATGTTTATTAATGGATTTGTAGGAAGATGGATGAAGGATGAAAAACGTGGGGTCGATTAACGGGTCCTAATGATCTCAGACACAATCAAGCTTGAACTTATACTGAAAGCAGACACTGTAATATAGTCTTGGATTCAGTGGCGGCTTGTAGCTAAAATTAGTGGGGGTGCTGCTCCAGAAAACTTGTAGCCTTTGTTTTAAAATTGTATAAAAGGAAACAAACATGAATAAAAAGAAAATTTATTCAGAAACTTGATAAAATCCTAAAAGAACAAAATCAAACATTTTTTACTTACTTTAACCTAAATTATTACAGTTCAAGCTTAATCTATTCATTTAAAAATGAAATCCATTCTTTTTAACCTTTATATTATGCTCATTGATTGAAAGTCTGTATGCCTCACTAAGTTTCTCCTTAATACTTACGGTTCCTAAAAGTGACAGTGAAACTACATTATCAACGTGCTTCTTTGACTTCTCATGCTTTTCAGTTTTTTCTTTCATTTTGTTTATATTTCTAAAACCATCTTTTGTCCATGTTACATCACCCCCAAACAGCAAACACGGGAAGCAAAACAGTGCATTTTTTACTTCACAGCTGCAAAGCCAACTTTTCCGTTTGTATCATTCAAAATTAAAGCTACGAATATATTTCTTGTTCTTGCTTATGCCTGGCTGAGATATTAGAATATCAGGTGTTAAAAGACCTCTTTTCTTAACTGCAACTTTCTCATGGAGAGACAGTTGTGAAAACTTAAGCTGTTGAAGTTCACTTACAGTCACAGAACTTATTTCTCAGGGATGCAAGGTCATGGTTAAAGTTTTCTGTTAAATAAAAGAACCGAAAAAATGAATCAAATAGAATAGCTGGAAGCAGGATAATAATCTAATTCTACAATTAACTCACATTCAAGAATATGGTACAGTTTTTAAGCACAACACACGCGGAGTAAAAAAAAACTACCTTCCATCAGCACGCCAGGGTCGGCACTGTTGGCACTGCGGGAAAGACAGTGCTCTCTCTCGCTCTATCTCGCATGCGGCTTCCTATGCGCACAGTCAACAAACACCTCGCCGCTGGAACTGTGAAGCGCACAGTTCCATACAAAGATTTGGCTACTGACCTTAAGCTTAGGGATTATATACTGTATTGTACAAGTATAAAGAAAGAATTAGAGAAAAAAGGACTCATTATATAAATGTTATCGATAATATCAAGTGGAAATTTGGGGTGCTGCAGTTCCACAGTGCCTATACATGTGCCGCCCTTGCTTGGGTTACAAGATTGATGTTGTAGCTAAGTCCTTCACATTTGCAAAATTTTGGCAGTGCACCCAAACACCATTTTAGGATTTTCAAATTAGTATGATGTATTTCAAACATGAATGTTAGGTCTGTAGCAATTTGTTATGATTTGGACATGGAAGCTCCAGATGATTCCATGAACTGGTTCTTCTTGCCATGTTCCTTACAGTTGCCACGATTTTTCTATGCAAATGCCAAGAACGATTCCTACTTAAATTTTTTACATTTTTTTTAAATTCGCTTAGTGGGGGCTGGAGTCAAACTGGGTCCACTCGACGTGGCGGCCACTGATTGGCCTATTGTAGCCTGCCCCGGGTGATTATGATGATGGAGAATTTGGTGGAATGAAGATTGGCAGGGGAAACCGAAGTACTCAGAGAAAACCTGCCCCAGCGCCACTTTGTCCACCACAAATCCCACTTGACCAGACCCAAGATCAAAACCAGGCTGCCACGGTGGAAAGCCAGCAACTAATCGCTTGAGCTATTGTGCGGCCACAATTCCTACTTAATCCCTCACAATTAAATCCATTAACATCATCATCCACTGATGTTTTTATCATGGTGGGTCACCTGATCTTTATGGTATGCATCCTGTTGCACATTGTGATATCACAAATGGTGCCACCTACACAACAATAATATCTACAAATATAAACAAACAGAAATCGATACTGATGTATCAGCATTCGTTTGTTTTGTGCAAAGGTGCTCCATTCCATGTTTTGACCTTCAAGAAGTCATCATCAGACATACTCACAAGAATTCAGTCTTAGTTCTTGAACTGTATTTTAATATGGATCCATTCCAGCTAGTACCAAGGTTAAGAAATGTGGATCTATACATCCACTACCCCATACACCTTCATGGCATAGTGCTTAATTAGTTAAGTACAGGGACAACTTTACCTTGACCTTCCATAATCTGTTTTATCTTTGTAGCAAATTACACCTTGTTGTTAAATATACATATCTAATAAATACAAACTAAAAATATATTTTTAGTATTCAAGGTAGTATTTGCTATCAAAAATAAAACAAACTGTAATAATATGGATCCATATTAAAATACAATTCAAGAATTAATGCCGAATTCTTGTAAGTATGCCTGATGACGACTTCTTGAAGGTCGAAACATGTAGTGGAACACCTTTGCAAAATAAACAAATGGCGATATATTAGTATTGACTTGTCTTTGTTTATATTCGTAGATATAATTATTTGGTCACCTGATGACAAAGGCTTTAGAATTCTTCTCTTTCTTCCAAAAATCCACCCTGTGATTCGCATCATTAAATTGGGGTCATTGCCCCAAACAGGGAAATGCTTGAAATACTGAAGTGATGCAAGACACAGCTCTTCACCCAACGCATTAACATGGACAATGTGCAACATCAGAAGTTAGTGACTAGACATGGGCTTTGGATTGACAATTGGATTTACCGGACTCTTATAACTTGTAAGACAAACACAGTGGCCATGTGGTCTAAAGCATGAAATGTCTTTGTTTGCTCGAACACTGGGATTGTTGGTTCAAATCTCACTCAAGGCACAAATGTTTGCATTTATTCTGTGTGTAGGTAGCAGCCTTAAGACAAGCTGATCCCTCATCCAAGAGTCCTACCGGCTGTCTAAGATTAAGAAAGTGAAGTGAAACAAACCATTTCACAGATGGCCTATGCTCCAAGTGGGAGCAACAGGAATTGACATACAGAAAGAAAGAGAGACAGGCAGACAGGTAGACAAATTGGCCACCAGACAGACAGATATAACTTGTAACTATAAGTAGTTATAATACTACCGCTAATGTACACACTCAACAAATCACTATAGCATATGTTGTCTCAGTCTGTTATATTGTTCAACTTCTTTATTACAACCATCACAACACAACTACATCAAGCTCAGTGCCTAGTTTTGGCTCTGCTACATGTTTCAGCTATTAATTAATTACCTGATCTTGATATTAGTTGTGTTGTGACGGTTGTAATAAAGAAGTTGTATATTATAACACAACAGGATGCATGAAATGGAAATGTTATATTGTTCAATGGTTGTCGCTTGGCAATGGTCTTTGCTAGGCATTGTTAAGTTTGGTTCCAAACAATTGGGATTCTTTGGCTCTTGTGCTTGCATCATTGCTGGCTGACTACCATCTCATGACTGCAACTCCTAGCCGTGAATGTCTAGCTTCTTCCAATGCCCTCGCTACAGACCGAGATGCACCACACAGAAAACAAAGCTTCCAATAGTTCCTTTATTGTTGTGTGCCTATCTGTTGCCGCAGACACGTTTATCAAACCACTGCCTAGATGATGTTTCATTTATCATGTCACAATGCCAAATTGCTTTCATGAACAAAGTCCTGGCAGAATAAAAGTTAAATCAGTGAGGAAAAAGCACCCACCTCTTGAGGGAGTTAAATGCAGACAACACCTTGGGTTGGCCTGTACTGGTTTCAGGATGAAGTAACTGGCGATGCAGGTTGTTCAGTTTCACCTTATCATAGTCAACTATTCCAATATGACCTGAACATACATGATACAGAATTTACATATTCGCTTCATTTACATGAAACCTAATCACAGTGACTAGTAATTAATGAGCTCTTCCACAATCAGACAGTGGGTCACACTGTACAGAAGTCTGTTTCATGAAACCTACGAAAGCAACAACTCCTCAGTACGGAAACTCATAAAGATTATTGCTTTGAAGGTCATAGAAATGCAAATTTATTTTCACTCCATGGAAATACAATACAATTTCAAGAGAGGTACAGTATATCATTAGTTTGTGCTTCTTTTTAATTCGGAGGCCTAGCTAGAAGTTAATGGTGACTGCAGTTCAAATATAATGAATGATGTAACATGGGATTACCAAGTGAATTTACACCTGAGGAGTCTAGAGTTCAGACCTAATACCTGTTGTGACTGAATTCCTATGTGATGAATTTCTCCCCATACATAAGAGGATAGTAAACTAAATAATGTTATAAGTGTAAGATTTGAGGTTTTCATGGCGATGACTATGAAGAATGCATTCTGGGATATGGCGCCATGTAGATATTGTGTTAACCGACGTTTTGGAGGGACTTATCGCCTCCATCTTCAGGGCAGAAGAAAAAATAAGAAAATCCACGAGCGAGATAGAGGCGATACGTTCCTCCAAAACGTTGGTTAACACAATATCTACATGACGCCACATCCCAGAAGAATGCTTTCTTCAACGTTACATGTGCTCTCTGCCAAATTTGAGGCACCTCAAATTCCATATCATCATAACACTACTGCTGTATCCACATGCCTAGAAGAAAACATATGAATGTTAAATTGTAGTAGTAATCTAATGTTATTTTATAGCTTCAAAAGCTGTCAATTTGTGACAATTTCAACCAGACCGATGACACAAATTAAAGATATTAATTTATGAAAACAAGTGCAAGTTCTACAAGTCTCACAATTTTAAACTGAATTTATACAACCTCTATTGTACAAACACTGTCAATCATTTTGGCAAATGCCTGACACTAGCTAGGAAATTGCTCTGTTGGGACAGAACAAGTCACTTCCATAGACATGTTTTCAAGATTACAAATTTATCTTCCACAAATTCCATCTTTCAGCTTACGAAAGAAGTCAAATGCCATAAAATGAACTACATATTTTTGGACGAGTTTGTATTAGTTTCTATAATGAATATGTGACACACATGCAGCAGATACAAAATTTCAATCAGAAAACCTGAAGGCATAGGACCACTTGGGAAACATGGGCACAGATGAGAGCATAATACTAAAATAGTTAATAAAAAACAAAAGAGGGTGTGAGGATGTACAAGAAAATCAACTGGTTTAGGACAGGGTAAATGACAGGCTCTTGTTAACATGATCAGTTCTTAGGTATCACAGATGATGGGGAATTTGACCAGCCAAGTGACTGTATGCTTCCCAAGGACGCTGCTCCTCAGAGTAATTTATATTGCCATTTATTAGCGACTAGACACAGGTTTGGATTGATAACTGGATTTACCGGAAGTTTATGACTCATTAACTACAATTAATTACAAACTTTATAGACTGCATTCTGTTGTGCATATAATATTTAATTGCTTATATTATGACTGTCAACACAGCAAGTAATATGGAAATATCTTCAATAAAGACAACAGGTGTTGGTATATATACATGTAGGACAGTTACATTTATATGAAACACATAAGATATATACCAACACCTACTGTCTTTACTGAAGATATTCCCACATTACTTGTTGTGTCAATGGTCATAATATAAGCTATTAAATTATTACAACACTCTCACTAATCTACACACTCTACAAACACTACATTACTCGCTAAATCTTCTCAGTCTATTCTATCATTCTGTACTCATTGCTTGGTAGCGGCTTCTAACAATGGCAAGTCCTCTGCTTCCATGTTCATGGCTAAGCACCAACTAAGAGTGCCCATTCCTGGCTCACGATGAACTCCCTTCCAGGAGAGCCCAGTAAATTACTGCTGACACTCATCAGCATGGTCACTCTTCATTTTGGATTTCTGTTAATTTCAAAATCATTTATGTTTGGAAATGGGGTCTCTTCTTTGATGAGTGGAGGGTACCACATTTGTTGTACCATAATTTTGCACAAGCATACCCACACTCACACACTATCCAAATACGGGTATGTCTATTTTATGCATACCATACATGCTCTGTCTTTTTACTATAATGATTAATATTTATACAACATATGCAGACGACCCCTGTCAATGCAGGCTTGTGCAACAGGTTATGCCTTAACTTACATATCCCTCTGAGATGGCAGTTGAACAGCTGAATGGTCGTAGGCTAGACTGCCATCAAATTCAGCCCCTTATACTTCCTGTGTATGGCTTGTCCTTGTACAATTATGCATACATTTTGATTTAGATGATTCTAGATGACTTCTGCCTGTTTAATGCATAATTAATTGTATAAGTAATGAATCAATTTTGAAAGTCACGTGCAGTTTGCAGACCAGTGGGCAACTGTCAAGATTGCCAACAGTGCAGAGAACTTGGTTCTGCAGGTGCTTCAGTTTCAAGACGTGAGTGTCTGCTGCATACTACCAGGTAGGACAGGCATAAACCATTATTCTAGACAAAGCCAAAGTCACGTTATGAATGACAAATGAGTACCAGGAATATTCTTGGGGTAAAGGGCAGTCAGCACATAAGGCTGAGTCAGTCAGCTACTCAGTCTTAGTGCCAAGCCCCATCTGGGGCCAAAGACTTTCAGAGTCAGAGTCAAAGTTACTTCACCTCTGGTGGTTTACTACCAAACAGTTTGTCTTGGCGCCTAGCCCCTTGAGACTCGCAGCCAGCAACTTTTCTTTTCCCCCAACTGAACCACTGTGGTCATAGTGCCTATGTAACATCCTCTCTGACGAGAAGATGGGTCTCTCCTTTACGCAGTCATTCTTGGGTCCAAGTCCTATGGGACTCATGACCATATTTTACTGTCTCAGATTTGAGACTCCCACAACCTAGAGGGCCAGGTACCCATATTTATATCCCCCTTAGAACAGGGTGGTCCGGTTATAAACCCCAGGCACTGGGTTCCTTTTTTGTTGCCTCCTACAACTTGCAGGTTGAGGTAATCGAACCTGCTTCCACACAGACACCAAAGACTTTGTCCTGTTGGTCCTCGTTATAGAGCCTCAGTATGGACCGCACAGAAAACACTGCTTCCAAAGGTTCTTCTGTTGTGTGTGTATTCATTGCCATGGTAATATATTTACAGACCCACTGCCTAGCAATAGTTGACTCCTGTGCTCCACTGTTCTGGCATTCAGGCAGCATGTCACAATATAAACAGCAGTAAAGGAAAGTAAATATATTGTATGTTCATTAGCCATCAGACAGTAAAATGGGTCCTGCGAAACCCAAAACCAAGAATCACTGTGCTGGCGAGGACCAGCAGTAATTTAACAGCCACAAATATATAGCACATAATTTACATTTTGAAAAAGTCTCCGGTCAAGGCTCAACTTGGCACATTTTTATCGCAGTGAAAATTCATTACGCACAGCAAAAACCAAGTTTTTACTTTTCTATTATATTAATGCAGAAATGTAAATGAATGTCTGTAGAATGAGGTGTCAATGTAGAATACCCGAAAAGAAGAACAGTGTATTTAGTCACTCACCTACTCCTGCCCCCGTCAAGTACAAGGCTGATGGACAGCCCAGCCCTCCAGCTCCCACTACCAAAACTGATGAATTTTTCAAGGCCTGCTGACCTGCAATGATGATATAAAGATGAATGCAGTGAGACTGTGTCATAGATTAGGCAGTTACATGTCATCTTTTGATCTTCATGTAACATCTGTAATTTATGAAGTAGCACTGGAACAGGTTCCTCCCCCCTCCCCCTTAAGTACGAAGGTAAGTCAATAAGTAAGTTACAAATGGATATAGAACTTAAACATATAAGAGTACTGATTTGAAAAATCCTTTTATTTCTCAACATAATCTCCATGTACATTGAGGCACTTGTCCCATCATTTCACAAGCCCCTGAAAACGAGTAGCATAAAATTCTTTGGGTTGCTGTTGGAACCAGGCATGTTCACACAGCTTGGCCTACCTCATAATGCATGACAGGTTAGGTTTTCACAAAGTCTGTGCCGATGGGTGCCGCGCATGCTGAACCCACAACACAAAATGCAAAGAATGGGTCTGGCATTACAGCATCTTGATTGCTATCACAATAAAGGACACGATATGCTAGCCCGAACTGTCACAGGTGATGAGTCTTGGGCGCACAATTACCAGCCCGAGACAAAGCGTGTGTCAATGCAGTGGAAACATCCTGTATCACCTGCCAAAAAAAGTTTAAGGTGACACCATCCTCCAGGAAAGTGATGCTCACAGTCTTCTGGGATCACAAAGGAATACTGCTCACCACATTCCAGCCTCAAGGACAAACCATAACTGCCGACTCCTACTGTAACATCCTCAGGAAACTTCATAAGGCCATTCAACGGAAGTGACCAGGACTCCTCACCAAAGGCGTGTTGCTTTTGCATGACAACGCACATCCCCATACTGCCAACACGACAAATGAGACACTGCAAAATTTTGAAGTGGGAAGTCCTCGAGCATCGTCCATATAGCCTTGACCTTGCTCCAAGTGACTTCCATTTGCTCGGCCCTCTTAAACATCATCTTTCAGCTGTACATTTTCCCGACGAGGAATCTGTAGTAAGTGAAGTCACCGCCTGGTTCCGACAGCAGCCCAAAGAATTTTATGCTGCTGGTTTTCAGGGGCTTGTGAAACGATGGGACAAGTGCCTCAATGTACAGGGAGATTATGTTGAGAAATAAAAGCATTTTTCAAATCAGTACTCTTATTTGTTTAAGTTGTATATCCATTTGTAACTTACTTATTGACTTACCTACATACCTTCAGTTTTCTCCTCTCAATCTTCATTCATTCCCCTACTGTTCCATACTCATTTATCAACGCCTACTGAGGCGTGCAAAAGGTATGACAAGACAGCACATTATCACAGCCTTCATCTTTAATCCGACTTGCATTTTGCTCTTATGCCATCTATGTGCAACTTCAGTTAATGTCCACTCGTCTTCTCTTTAGTGTATATCACTACATGTTTCGGCCCAACCGGCCATCATCATGTGTATAGTCTGTTGTGGTTAAGGAATCTGCTGTTCACTGTAAAGCTGCTTTGTTTATCTGGAGTGGCTGCCTCAGGCTCTGGGTTACGGGGGTTAACCATCTGTTTTAATTTTGGTGTCCTTGAGCTACACATGTTTGTATTATGGTTTTGTTTGGTTTATTGGTTGTTCTAGCTGTGGCGGATTCTTCTGTGTGGTCAGTCACAGCCTAAAACCATAAATCAAATGTGCAGCTCAAGGTCACAAAAATTAAAACAGCTGGTCAACCCACAAAACCAGAAGTAATCCAAGGCAAGCACATAAGAGAAACAAAACAACATTACAGCGAGCAGCAGATTCCTTAATCACAACAACCTGTACAACTGAAGATTGCTGGTCAGGCCGAAACATGTAGTGTCAATAAAGAAAAATGATGAGAGACACATGCCCAGCAGTAACATTACGGAAACCTCTCTAAGGAGTCAGCAGGTCTGGCACACCATTGCAGGGAACTAGCAATTCTAGCCTACTTGCAGAAGGAGAAGGTATTCAGGAAAACACGGCCTGCACCTAGCGAGCATAAAACTGTCTTGATGCACTAGGTAAAAGCTGAAAAAAGAGCAAGCCAAGCAGGAAACAGGGAACATAGGCATGTCTAAGCTGGGAGAAACCCTGACCAGGAACTCTAAGAGGCCAAGCCCTGAGGGTGGCACCCCTGTCTGGAAAGGATGAGACCTCCAAAAAGGCCCAGGGACCCATAAGGAGGCTCTGACACACATCAAGAAAGCTGAAGAGGAAAATAATGCCATGTAGTTTGCTGAAAGGCANGGCAACTAACGTTTCAGGGGAACGTCACCTTGATCTTCATAGTTGAAGAATTAGCCAAGCAAGATACCACTGTCAAAGCTACAATGCCCCACTCATTATTCCCCTGGGGGAAATGGTGATGTGGCAGATACTCGTATTGTGGTCCAATAAAAAAATCAGAGTGTCAGATGTTATTGTCTCCAATATTTTGGACTCAGATCACCTACCAATAATATTCCACATATTGAATAATGTCAAAAGTAGGAATATTTTGGAACCTATTGAGAAATTCACAGATTGGAATAGGTTTCAAAGCCTCACCTCTGAATTAATATTGTAACATGTTTCGTTACTGAATATGCCGTAGAGATGGTTAACTGGTTTATTTNACTCGTGGCGTCACCACGCATTGCGCGTTGCATAGCTACCAGGATGCGGGGTGATTACTTGCCTATTACGCGAGCGCTACGTTACCGCTACGTGCAGCTGGGGAGGTAGGGGTCAACATGTCACAATATAATTGAAAATCGAAATTAACTCAGGGGTATAAGCAGGTGGAGGCTAGAGTTCAAACTCTACTTGAAGATTTAGACAACAGCCTCCCCTCAGAGGATAAGACCATGTGACATACAGAAATTAATAAATTACAACACCCGCAACCAAACAGGGAACACACAACATGAGACACGATATACACTGAGAGTAAGAGGAACGACTCCCATAGTAGTGGAACTATGCGCAGTGTTAGAATTGGGACAGATAAGATAAATTATCTTAACAAGTTTTTATTATATAAATATTTATTATACTTGATGAACATTTTTATACTTTTTAAATTTTACAATGACATAATGGCAAGCAATGAAATAGATTAACGTAAATGGAGCACCTGATGATGGCACTATAGTACCGAAACCTGTTGTGAAATAACAAGTGAAATTGAGTGCATTAAAAGACAGACACTGCATACATATCATGGACGAAAATCAGTGCAACAAGACACTAAACTGCAACATTATGAATTCTTTGAAACTGAGAAAGGCCTGCAGAATTGATGGCATTCCAAATGAATGCCTCAGGCACCTTCCAAGGCGACCTCTGGTACAGCTGATCCATTTATTCAATCATTGCCTTAGGCTGTCCCATTTTCCAAGTTCTTGGAAGGAGACAAAAGTCATAACCTTACACAAAATTCCCTCAAAATTTAAGTCCGATTAGCCTCCTGTCCACAAGAGGAAAACTATTCAAGAAAGTCATTCTGAAAATATTTCAAAAGCACACTGAAGAAAGAGGCCTGCTTAACACAGGCCAGTTTGGTTAACGTGCGCATCACAGCATGCACTGCAATGTATGAGGCCAATGGACCACATGACCCTTAATTTCAACAATAAAATGTCTACAGCTGTGGTGTCCTTGGACATCGAAAAACCCTTTGATACTACATGGCACTCGGGCTTGCTATATAAGATATCAAAACTGGAATTTTCGACCAGCTTAATCAAGCTTATTAGATCATTTCTTTCACAACAAAAATTCAACATTTCGGTGGAAGGCGAAATATCTACGGCAAGGGAAATGCAAGCAGGGGTGCCACAAGATTTGGTCCTGTCCCCTACTCTTTTCAATATGTACTAGGGCTGGAACTTTAATAGTGGCAACTATTTATTTACAACTGATACAAAATAGATGCCTGTTTCGAAGTTTTACTGTCCTTCAATGTAGTCACCAGCATTGTGTACAGCCCGCTGCCAGCGACGTGGAAGTCGAAGGATACCTTCAGCAGCACCTTTTGTGTTGATAGTTCAAATGGAGTGGTCTACTGCCTGAAGAATCTCTGGAACAGTTCTGAAGCAAATGCCATGAAGTGGTTCCTTCATCTTAGGAAACAAGTGGAAGTCACAAGGGCTTAAGTCCGGTGAGTATGGTGGACGGTACAGCACTTCCCAGCCCCATCGATCGAACAAATCAGCCACAGCTTGCCACTTCTGCATTTCCGTCAAATCATGCGGAACCCATCATGATGCAATTTTTCTCTTGCCCAGGGATTCTTCAGAATGTGAAGCACAGTCGTATGCGCTAATCCTGTCTCTTGGGCCAGCTAATGAATCCTATGGCGTCAATCACTCTCCAGTAACACGGAAAGAGTATACACTTCTTCACTGACACAAGGATGACCTGGCAGATGCATGTCTGCCACATTTTGGCATCCCTCGTTGAAGGCTTTACCCACCTTGCCACTCTTCTGTAAGGCAATGTAGATTCCTTCCAAGCCTCTTGCAGACCTTGATGACACTGTCATGCTGTACGGCCTCTGGCACATTCAATCTTTATCCAACTCCATTGTTCCTGTTTCAAAAACATCATGACAACACTACATTAGACCGCCAGCTAACACGAGGCTCTGTTCTTCTCGTCACTGTGCATGCGCGTGGCGTGGGAAGGGAGGGTCTATTTGCTCTGAGGTAAGGTAGGTATGTAATTAACGTGTGGTATAAGTGACATTATTTGATTCCATTGCATGGTGTCTCTACAGCACCGTTGCCACTATTAAAGTTCCAACCCTCGTACATAAATGATGCCCCCAAAACACATGGCATTCAGCTAGCCCTCTTTGCAGATGACACCTGTCTGTATGCGACAGATCGCAAGGAGGGTTTTGTTGTTAGAAAACTCCAGCACAGTCTCAGCTCCATGGAGACCTGGTGTGAGCGCTGGGAATATCAAAATTAATGAAGATATGACTCAGGGGGTCTACTTCTCTCGTGGTCGTCATCCGCTTGTGCCTCATCTTACACTGAATGGAATATATATTCCATCTGTAAATTGTGTAATCTTTGATAGGAGGATTACATGGAGATTGCACATAGAAACGACCAAAGCCAAGGCCTTCAGAACATTTATAAGATTGTATTTCTTATTCAAAAGTGAGAAATTAAGCGCTAACATTAAGCTGACCCTCCACAAAGCTCTCATTAGATCTGTAATGACCTTATGCTAGTCCCACCTGGGAATTCGCAGCAGACACTCATCTAATGAAATTGCAGCGCCTACAAAACAAGGTTCTCCGCACCATTGGCAATTTTCCAAGGCACAAACAGGTTTGCGATTTACATATGGCTTTCAAAATTCTATACGTATATGATTATATAATAAAATTATGCAGGCAACAAGCAGAAGTGATACAAAGTCATGATAACAAAAGTGTTCACAATACTGGACAAAGCAAAGCACAACATAGAAAGTATAAGAGGCTTAAACTTGCCAGCAGTCAAGCATACAACCATTCAAGTGACTAGACTGCCGTGGTAGCGAGCACTGGTAGAAATAGGGCATAATCTGCTGTACTGAGCCTCGACTGAGAGAGGACCTGTATATATTTAATACATTTATTATCATGTATAAGATGTAAAATATAAATATCCTTCACATTATGACAAATGACTTACTACTACCCTGACAAAAGACGGACCCGTGCTCTCGTCAGAGAGGGCACCCCACAGTAATACGACCGAAACTGTCAAACAGTAACAAATATCCAGTCATGAGCCCCAGATTGGGCTCAACACCAAGACCGACCGACCGAACATTGGTTGCAATGTGACTTTGACTTTGACTTATGAGAGTGTCCTGAGACAGCAAGAATTAGCTGTGAGAGAGTCACCGGCCAGTAAGGACATGAATATGGAAGCCGAGGAAGCTAGAGCACTGAAAGCCATTACCAGGTGACAACCAGTGAAGACAAAGAAGATTCAGAAGACTTTGTACTGCTGTAGTGAATTGCAGCGTATGTGAATTAGTGACTGTGCTATAGTTCCTTGTAGTTACGTTCTGTAAGAGTTCAATAAATCCAATTACCAATCCAAACCCCATATAGTCACTCATACACATGATAATACTGAACTATGTGAAATTACCCCTTCAAATTCTGTGTGGTCTTTACCTGAGAGGGTATGTTTCTTGAGCTTGTGTAACAGACCAGATATGCACAAGAAGGCAGGTGTAATTTTATTTAACCCTTTCACTGCTAACAACTTTCAGTACCCTCTGTGCTGAATTATTTTTTAATAAATCTTTTATAAATAATTTAAGTGAAATGTATGAAAATGTATGATAAAATGTAATTAATCTTATCTCAGATAGGGAACAGGCAGCAGAAGTTGCAAAAATGTTCAATTATTCAGTATTTTTCACAGGGGAAAAGTCCATTTCAATCAGGGTTGTCCAAGATGGTCAAAAAAGTACATGATTCACTGTCCTAGAATCACTATGTCACATTTTGACCAAAGCCCACAACTTTCTTTAAAACTATTATAGAAAACACCACGCACTATACGAAGCTATTTTTATTAGCCCTGTAAAACACCAGTGCCACATGACCATGGAGAACATGCCTCACTGAGCAGATGCAACCTTTTACATTTCTTAAGCTAGAGGGCAGAAGAATGCAGCCATTGAAATGAACGATGCTTCATTACGTTCCCAAGAGATGACTCTATGCACCCGCCAAGTGTGAATGAGATTGGTGCAAAGAAACCTGAGATCTGAAACTCTAAATCTGCAATACGGGTTTTGTTGATGGCAGCAAAGACGCCGTGTTTTTTCAGAGATCGACATATGTCGACCGCAGCAGTGTAAGGGTTAATAAAATTTAAAGCAAAAATAACAAATCTTACCTTTCATTCCAATTTCTGGCATAATAATCTGCCTACTATATCTGTCAATTTCTACATTTGTTAATTTCTTGTACAGTCCTTTCTCTTCAGCTTTCTCATACATCTAGAACAAACCATGCGTAGATCAGGGGTATAACTATGTATCATGTAAATATATATCAGATATAACAAAAAGGATATGCAATCATATTTCTGAGAAATAAAGAGTAAATTGTTGGATTTGAGGTTCTCACAGCAGTGGTTATGAAGAGTTTTATCTTCTGGGATATAACACAGTGTAGTCCAATGGACATAAATTAATATTCTGTAGGAACACAATGCCTCCATTTTCAAGGTTGAAGAGTAAGCAAAGCATGAAACCAATATACAGCGGGCAACAAGCAGAGGTGTTCTCGGGGTGGGAGTGGAGGGTGATCTAACCACCATCTGTGTTTGGCTTACTCTTTTATCCTGAAGATAGAAGCAATATGTTCCTTCAAAACATCGGTCAACTTTCACTGCACTATATGACATTACTCCCAGGAAGACAGAATTCTTAGAATGGAAATATTTTTCTGGTCAGACAAGTAAATAACATTTGAGACCGTCAATCCACCAAACTAAAAAATCAATAAATTTTAAAAGAAGTTAGAAATGAAATCCTGAAGAATGAAAACAGCTTTCCATTTTGGATAATTCTTTGTTTCATGAAGGCTCTAGTTTTGTTATTTGGCGCATGGGATTATTCCATTTAACTGAAGTTTAGAATGCATCTAGTTTTCTTTACAAACAGACGTTGCTCTACCTGTGTACAGCCAGCTATTCTCTGTTCGAACTATATTTGATGCCCTATGTGATCAGCAGTTCCTACAACATATATGGACATGGAAATAATGCTGCCCATACCAATTTCTATCATGTTACAGAAACCCATAATTTGTTTGCAGCACGTATAACATTTGGTATAGAACAGGATTACCCATGCAAGTTCTTCTTTCTAAATAGCTAAGCAAACAATGATACTGCAAAATATCAGTTCCACATTAATGAACTTGCATTTCAGAATGTGAACCACAATGGAAAATAAGCTTTGAGTCAGAGCTCTCAGTTCTGAGTTTCACGCAGCCACTCTCATAACTAAGAAAACTTAGAATCTTTAAAAGACATGAAAAATTATTAATGGCAAGCATAAAAAGAACGGAATAACAGTTATGCACCTGACCCATTTAAGGAGAAAATCGTGTCTTCGATTTTAAAAATGTGGCATACACAAATGAAAATAATAAAAAGAAAATGCGTATTACAACAGGAACAAAACAGAAAGTTTGATTCCACTCAAAGGCCATAAAAGTACAGTTCCAAACTTTACATAACCTGATATGTCTACACACAATGCCCCTTCATAACAACACACATTACAAGCTAGGTGAAAAAAATGTAACTTTTAGAACATTTTCCTTTTTAAAGGGAAAAAAACATAGGTTTATGAGATGATGAATGCTGTCTGTGTCTCATCCCATTCCAACATTTGAACCAGCTTACCAATTTTCACAAAATTTGGTATGAATGTTATGCCACTGTAGACCACTCCAATATCAAACTCTTTTAATTTTTTACAGTCAGCAATAACTAGACATCAGAACTTGAGAGGTGCGAGAGACACTAGCATTGTTTAATTTAAGGTCCTTATGTGATGTACAGCAACAAATCTTAGAAACATATGCTAATTTCATTAGGGTACTTTTCTTTTGTGGGGCACATGGTAGCATAGTTGGTTGAGGCACTATGCTACAAGCCAGAAGGTCACGGGTTCAAGTCCCAATGAGGTCACTGGATTTTTTCAATTTACCTAATCCTTCCAGCCACACTAGGCCCTGGGGTTTACTCAGCCTCTAACAGAAATGAGTACCAGGAATTAATTAAATAATTATCCTGGGGAGTAAAGTGCGGCCAGCATGTAAGGCTAACAACCTTATCGCCATCTTTGAGCCGATTGCCTAGATAATGTGGGACCCTCAACGTCTCACAACCCTATGGGCCTTCACGGCCTGGTACAGGGATAGCTTTAATTTTTTTTACTTTACTTTTCTTTTGTAGAATCTAAGATAACATCATGGTGGCCACAACAATATTTTCTGTTAACTTCAGTTGGATGCTAAAATACAATAAACTACAGTAGCCAAAACCTAAGTGAAATTTGATACAAAGGTCATAAACATACCTACAAACTATATATGATACTGCCATATGTTAGGGGTTTGCATATGCGTGACGGGTTCCAGACCGGATGACTGGATTTATCGACACCTTATACACACAACTCAGGACTACTGGCATTACAGCACTATCACCAATCTACACACTTTACAGTTCACTATTTCATGTGCACTAGATTCTCAGTCCTCACTAGTCATATCCTGGCAACGCATTTATAAGAGTCTGTCACTTCACATCACACATGAGGACTTCTTTTTGTAGCCTAATTTCTTTCTTGCCATTATTCTGAAACTGCCAACTCAATTCAATTCCTCTGTTACCAAGCTCATATCTTGGCAGGCTGATGTCTCGAAACTCAACTGAATTCTTCTCAACTGAACTCTTCTTTCCGACCACACAGAAAACAAAGCTTCTCTATTACTGGGAAAGTGTGTTCACAGCGCCACTGCATAGCAATCGAAGTTACGCGATTGTTGCTTGCATATTCATTGACACGGGAAGTTGTTTACCAAGTAGTTGGCCAGCAATGGATGTCTATTCTGACTCCACTATTCCTGTTTTCGGGCATTATGTCACATTATTTTATTTGTTAAGCCAACAATTACAAACACAGTGACAATGCAGAACTTTGAAATTATATCCAACAAATTTAACACATATAAAATCTGTGGTTAAGTAATAAGTTCTTTACAAACACAAAATAAACTACCAATAATAATAGAGTAACAAACCTGTTCCGCCAGAAATTGATGCAATAGGAGACAATGTTTTATAGAGCTCTATTTCAAACTCCTTATTTAGAATCAGCATTGAGCCTGGATCTAGTGTGATCCAGAAACACTAAACATTAAACTCTTTCCATATCCACACATATTTATGAAAGCAGGAACATCGTACTTTTAAAAACTAGATTTTATTATGTGGCAAAGTTTCACCCATTATGTAAGTTTTGAGGTTTTCACGGCAATGACTATGAAGAAAGTCGTCTTCTGGGTTTAGGCGCCGTGCAATCTTCGTTTTGGCCGACGTTTCGGAGGAACGTATCGCCTCCATCTTCAGAGCAGTTGAATGGCTTGGAATGCAGAGAGCAGTAGCTGTAGTGATAGGAAGTGCAGTAGCTGTAGTTTTTTCACCCATTATGATTACCGATTTCACTTAAACTCTTATTCTCAACTGGTGGTTTGATAATACCTTCTTGCCTTATATTCACACTGAAATCTTCGAAGAAAACATTCATACGACACAAAGGGAACTGGAATCTCAGACACAGCTCAGGCTACAGCAGCTGTGGGGATACCCAGCATTCTATCCAATGGATAATGGGAAGTTATTTCCCTGAGGGTTCAGTGGCCAAGGAACAAAACTCACTGCTTACCTCCACTTAGTGCCTTGGGTAAGTATGTGTGGAGCTACACCTAACCCAGTACTCAATTAATCACAGTGAAAACTTCATATTTTCACTAACCTAACATATGAAAGACCTCTTATTGTTTTATATGATATCCCAAACACAATTTTGCTAACTCTCTTGCTACCTGACCTATGCAGACATTCTAAAGTCAACACATCATGTCCATTTACGCTGTTCAGGTCATTCCAAAGAATATGTCCAAATCCACGGTCATGTGACTGTAATACATTGGTTTTATATAGTACACTGTTAGCCACCATCCAACTAACAAGCTTGAGGAGCAAACCCCGGCCAGTTATTCGTGATTTATTGTTCAACATAGTCAGTCACAGCTACACACCACAATTGGAGACCATCTACTCCATCTACAATATGAGAAAGTGCCATACTGCAGCAGCAAGGAATTCAAGTAACATGAACAGAGAAGGGTAAACTGTTCCTTTAAATCTGCAAAGGTCAAATTTATGAGACGTAGATGTGATGCACTCCCAAATTTGCAAAAAGTCTATCCAAACAGAGGGGCAGTAGCATAGTTGGTTGAGGGAATATGCTACAAGCCAGAAGGTCGTGGGTTCGATTCCTGATGAGGTCATTTGATTTTTCAATTGACCTAATACTTCCGGCCACACTATGGCCCTGGGGTTGACTCAGCATCTAACACAAATGGGTACCAGAAAACTTAATGGGGGGGGGGGGCGGGGGGCGAACCCTAAAGGGACAACACGAACACCACACCTTGCAACGTC